CTCTAAGCTTTACTTAATGTATGTAATCCTCACTAGAACCCTAAGCAGCAGGCACCATTATGATCTTGGTTTTACAGATACAGAAACTAACCAAAAGGGCTTTTCTCAGAACCTAGTAGGAAGTGGGGGCAGGAGCGAAGAATTTGCCTTAACCTCACAGAGGATATTAACATCATTTGTTTACAAGAAGCCTGGTTTTTATTAAAATCAGCCTTGGGTGTGAGCATTCAGGCTTGATTTTCTTTTGCGGCCTTCCGGCGGACTAGCCATCTGATTAGGGTTAGCACAAGTGCATCTGGGCTTCCAGACACATAAAAGAACTTATTTCTCCTAACATTCGTCTTGTTCCACGATGAGACCTGCCTAGAATGTCTGAATGTGTGTGTACATATGTTATCTTGCCAGAATCATTTATCCCACATGTGTCTGGAACCAATTTGATGGACTCTGAAAGCTATATATATTGCATATCCATTAATGGACTTCATAAAAGGAGGTTGTAAAGTCAGATTTGCAACAGGTTGGCCAGTAATTCAGCCACAGTAAATAAGAACGGAGAAGATTGATTCCTTATTGGCTATTTTTTTCATAAGGATTGCTACTGCAACATGGTCAAATTAACTTGTTACAACCCAATATTACTGTGGAATTTCTAGGTGTAATAACTGTGGTGTCATTTCAAGGAGTCAGGGTTTGGATAGTTTAATAATTGGCCCTTTTTCGTGTAATTTTAATGCCCGAGAAAAACCATTTAGGAAAATGATCAACCTTCTCAAATTTCTATCAAGTGTTGACACTTTTGTTTCCAAGTCTGTTTACACACCAACTGGATAGGTAAGACTAGGGTCCTGAGGTTAACATGGCTCTCTCTGATAGCATAAATAACCATTTCTAGTTAAAATAATTTCAAGATTTTACTTAAAGCTTCACCTGGGAGATCTTCTCCCTCTAACACAGACAAGCCAAAAACCTCAATATACCTAGGATGGAGAACCATATAATGGTAATGGTAACACCCTTTCTTTGATAAAAATTTCTGGGAAACTAAAATCCCAGGAAAGATTTTTCGGTCTCCTCTCAAGTAATACTGAGTAATAAACTAGAGACTTGAGTGGAAAACTTTTATAAGCAAGCAACTTTAGATTTGGCAGGGGCAAGGGAGAATCTAAAGGGCTCAGCCAATAATAAAGGCAAGATGTTGTGATATAGTAATAAATATATATTTGGTCTTTGTTCCCAAGTTCCTGATACAAGAGCTTCTAAAACCTTTGGTATTTTCTGAGGAGTTGGAGAGGAGTGTCTTTTGTTATTCATAATAAGCCCCAGTCAACCACACCTGAGCCCATACTAAGGGGTCACCCTCCTTAGGCCCCCGGATAGCCTCACGAGGGCAGCTGTTTGCCAGAGGAACCATCCGTGCGATTAGAGGGGTGGAACTTGCAGCCCCAGCCCACGACCTCAAGAAGGGGTCACTGGGAGAGGGGCTGGAGGTTGAGTTAATCACCAATGGCCAGTGATTTAATCAATCGTGTCTTGGGAATGGAACCTCTATAAAAACCCTAAACAACAGGGTTGGGGGAGCTTTTGGGTTGGTGAGCACATCAAGGTGCTGTAAGGATAAAGTGCCCGGAGAAGGCGTGGAAACTCTTCGCCCTCTCCTCGTACCCTCTCTTCCCCACGTGCATCTCTTCCATTTGGCTGTTCCTGAACCATAGTTTTTAGAATACAGCGGTAATGGTAAGTAAAGTGTTTCTCTGAGTTCTGTAAACCATTAAAGCAAATTATCGAACGTCAGGAGAGAGCTGTGGGCACTCCTGATCTGTAGTCCACTGGTACCAGTGACCACCTGGGACTTGTGACTGGCATCTCAGGTGGGAAGCAGTCTTGTGGGACTGAGCCCTCAACCTGTAGGGTCTGGCTAACTCTGGGTGTGTCGTGTCATAATCAAACCTTAGGACACCTACTTGGCATCTGCAGAGAACTGGAGACTGGCTTGTTTGGAAAACCCACACCGTTGGTGTCAGGTGTTTTGTAAGTAGAAACTTCTTAATTAGAACTGGGATACGGAGATGTTTGGTATGTTAAGAGAAAGAGAAGGGAAAAAAGTCTATAATCTGATAATGAACTCTGAAAGTTTTGTAGAGTGGAGTCTTCCAAGCACGGGCCCAGTGACTCTGGCCTTTGTAAAACCTCAGATCATTCACCTAAAGGTAAAAGAGGCCTTAGAGAAACATTCATTTCCCAGAATTGTTAGCCGTGTTGCACGGTGTGCCCCCTCCCCGTTGTCACCAAATAATTAATCTGAAATAGCTTCTCAGGACTTGTTTTCTTTAAATAGACTCAGACAGGCATTTTACCCATTTTCAAAAATGTTTCTACCCTTTATTCCTCTACGTGTACCACCAAACTATAGATCTAGTAATTCCTAGGCAAAACTGTTTATTCTTTTAGAATGCAGTTTTTCAGATTATTGTCTTGCACAATGAATAAGAAGGTTTGAGGTGCTATTCTATTACTAATCACCAATACTTTCTTGTCTCGTCAGATAATAAAAATGTAAACTTTTCAGACCACTCGCTCTCTTATCCATGGGCCAAATCAGTTTTTTTAATAACACTAATTTTTCCGCCTGCATATTTAGTACCTAAACAGCACATATGCATGAACAACACGGGAAGTCAGCACTTCAGATACTTATCAGAAAATTCAACCAGGAATTTGCTCTGTTCTGACACTTGCTAGCAGCTCAGTTGAGCCTTCTGGTAGTTGGGGAAAAATAGCTAATGGGTGTGTTAAATATTAATTCTCCCAGATCCTTTGAGTTCAATCTCCATGTTAGCAAGAAACAACTTACCTAGACCTTATTATCTGTGTTTCCTCAAGACAGGAGGATCATAATTAGATCCTAATAAAGCCTCATGCTGTTGGGCTTTTTAAATAGTTACAATAAAAGAAACATTTGAAAAATATTTCTGGGTTTTCTATAAAACTACAGTCAAAGACCTGTCTATTAAGATGTAGGTGTATATAAAGATACACCTACTAAACCTTCCTACAATAAGGTGCCAGAGAAATGTAAATGCTGCCTTTTATTGAAGAATTGGGATTACATACCCTCCTATATTCTCTTTGGCTCTGACTTCTAGAAAGCTGAGATTCAAGTTAGACCTCCACTCTGGGTTCTTGACACCTAAGCACCCAGCGAATCCACTTAAGTCTCCTTGAAACCAGCTCAGCAACATCTGTTTCCCCCACCACCCTCCTCTCCCCCCCAGTCAGTGATTCTCAAGGGGAGGGTTTTTAAAATTACATCCCTCCTCCATCTGGAAATCATGGGGTTAATGAAAAATGTACTGATGGAAATGAATTGTACATGTGGTCAGGTTTTTTTTGACCATCCTACTTGACATGCATTTTGACGTGCAGGCTGTAGTTGTATGCAAATACGGTTGTTGTGTTGTGTTTTTTGCTAAGGTGGATAGGGAGAACAGTGCTTTGAGTGCTGTTTGTCTAGTTAAAAGCAGCTCTTTTCTGTTTATTCTGTTCTGACCCTGTTTTTTAGTCACTCTCTAGAACAAAAGTGATTGGCACTTCTTGATCCCTTAGAAGAGTATCCCTCCCTTCCCCTAGAGCAGCAATTAATAAATCCTGAACCTCTCTTTACTTTCCCTACTTCACTCCAAATACTCTGAAAGGGGTTGGGAGGGTAGATGCTGAACTGTGCCCACACGCATGCTTTAGTATTTCAAGCTACCTCTCGGCTTTGTTGGTAGAACATGGGGTAAATGAAAACAATATTTTCTATTCATGTTTAACCTGAAAGAATTCAAGTGATGTTTAAAATCTGTGGGTTACACAGGGTGTGAAGAGACCCCTGCCTTGCCCAGCACAATTTCTTAGCAGTGGAGTGCTGTTCTGGAATTGCCTAGTGGGGTAGCTTCAGGGACAGAGGTCCTGGACGTTTTTGTTTTTCACCTTTAAACTGTGCTCAGAAACGTCCTGGTTTCACCTTGAGGGTCTCCCTTCCTTCTCCCAGGCAAGGAGTCTCTGGTTGGCTCCAGAGCTCTCTACAGGGGCCCTTCAACTACTTCCCCTATGGTCTATGGTAACCCCAAACAGAAGACCTTTCCTTCCCTCCTTCCTCTTTTTCTCTCTCCCACGTCCAATTACCTGAGCATGTTGCCCTGTAACTATGGCTGGGTTTTGTCCCCTTCTCCTCCTTTCCCCAAGTCCAGCCTCAGCTGGATCTTCTCTCGGCTGGGCTACTGCACGTGCTTCAGACCTCATCTCCTCTAGGTCCTGTCAAATCCACCCTCCACCAGCTGCTCCCTGTCTGAGGGCTCCCAGCATCCTTGTTCCATAACAGCTGTGCTGCTCAGGGGATGCTTCACGTGGGTCCGACCCTGTCTGCCACCCTTCCCCCCCCACTCATCTGGGCGGCCCCAAGTTTAGTTTCCTGGGAAACTGCGCTTCTCCAGCACCCACCAAGCAGTTCCGCCCTGGGGTGGATTCACTGGGACCACTCAGGAAATTACGTCCTACAGAAAGCCCTCCCTGATACCCCCGCCCCTCCACAAGACGATCTACATACCCCTTTAAGCTCCCTTAGCTCCGTGCCTTATCGGTGCTGGTGCTACTATCTGCTTCTGCACTTGGCCCCACAGGTATGTACACACTTTGGGGAGGAGACTGTGTCATAATCGTCTTTGTAGCCCCGGCCCCTGACCCATCAGCCGTGCCCCCTAAACCTCAAGAACTTCCCTCTGCAGAGGAGCCGGAGCACCCTCCCTCTGTGTTTTTCACCCAGGTCTGGGTGATCCGGAGCCAGAGGGGGTGGCCAAGGAACTTCCATAGCATTGGCAATCACCGCCTGCCCAGTCAGGCTTCAGAGCCCAAGTGGGTAATGGCAGGGAATGCGCGGCTGGCTGGAGGTGGCGCTCAGGGTCTGGCATCATCCGAGCCCAGAAGCGGCAGGCGGGTGGCCTGGGACTGGGCAGGCGCATGCGCACCGTCGTCATGACAACGCCTGCGCGGCGGCCTCGGAGTGAAAAGGAGCATGTGGGGCAGCGGGAAGGAGGCCGCCTGCGCGGGGCCCGGGTCCTCCCTTCCCGCTCCCACTACGACCCCTAATCCGTCCTGGGCCCTGGCCGACGGTAGTGGTAAGAACTAGGGTGTCCTTTGGCGCCTGCCTGGCCCACCGGAAGCGCACGAGGGACTTCGGCCCCAGCTGCAGGGTTGCTCGCGCCAGCCCATTCCTCTGAGCAGGCGGCCGGCTCGAGGCGGTGTGGCAGGAGGGTGCCCCTGGGAACCCCAGCTTTGGCCAGAACTCTGGGGCCCCCCAAATGTGGGCGGGAAGGGAGCCCCAAGTCCCCCTGGTGGGTCTGCCCTTCACATGAGCCCTTGTCCTGGAGGAAGGTGTGTCTGTTGCTTTGCTCTTACGGTCTCCGGGAAGGGTGTCTAGGTGCTCTTCTAGGGCTCTTTTTTGTGGAAGCTCCAGAAAGCAGGGCCTAGGTGGGCAAGAGGGTCTTGAGACAGCTCTGACTTTGCCTCTCTATGCAGCCTCCGTTTTAAGTATTTCTGCAGATGTGAATTATCTCTAGCAAGTTAAGCGTAGCCTGCACGCCCCTCCTCCTGCCACCGATTCCATTTTGGATGCTTGTGTTAAAGTGTGTGCTTGTAGATGGGGAACTGTGCTAGAAGCCTTACGTATTCCTCACTGCATCCTTGAGATGGGCACCGTGCTCTGCTTTTAGCATAAGAGGAAATTTAAGACGGGAGAATTAAGGTAACTTGTACAAAGGCACACAGGTGATCCTGGGTAGGTAGCCCAGTCTGACTCACTCCCAACCCTTGGATTTCCTGCTACTTGGCTGTTCCTGTATAGAAAGGATAGGGGACCACCTCCGAAATGAGCCCTTTCTTTAGAAATTCTAACACGTGCTGCCAGGTGAAAAATATTTGGAATACAAGACTTTGGCATGGATGAAAAATGACATTTGAGTTAGAGTCTTGATATTTTCTTGTGTAACTGGCTAGTCCTAGTTTAAGCTTTACAGTTTGAAGACGGATTTATTATTTTCCCCTAATATGAATACAGGAAATAAATTATTGGTGCCATAAAATCCTGACACACAACACTTAGGTGAATTTTAAATGAAAGAGAGCATAGCAGAAAAATATAGCAGAAACTTTTAAATACTTTAAATCCATGGTCAGGTAATAAGAATTTTCTTTTCTTTTTTTTTTTTTTTTT